CAGAACAATAGCCAAGTAATAAGGTTGAAGTAATTATTTAGCTGGGTAGCCGCTTTTCACAGTAGAGCTGACTTTCAACTAAGTTTTCCATTTTTAGCCCCTTCTGCATCCCACCTTTGTGAAGTTCCTAGTGTCTCCAATTCCTAAGTCTATCTGGTATATTTTATAGTATTACCTGGCCTGCCCCTTCAGGCAAGCCTTCTCTGGAGTGCTAAGTGAGTTACCACCTAACCATCTGTGTTTCAGCTTCCAAAATTTGTTAACATTTCTCAATATGTTTTCACCTTCTCTTCCATTTTTTTGGTTCCTTGTGGTTTTATGCCTTTTTGTTTTTTAAAAAAAAGCTTTTTCTAATTACACTTTCTAGTCTGTAGACTAAGCCAACACCCATTTCATAAACTTCTACCTATAATTAGTTATGCAATGTATCTTTTTACTTCACTCGGGCCTAAATTTCCGAGGAACAGAATGTTTAATTCATCTTTTATTTCTAGAGAACAAACATTTAGGTATTCTGACATCAGTTAGGTCAAGACATTGCTTAAAGTGAACACATGACTTGATATTACGTTTAGAAAAGTTCCGGCATGGGTGCTCAAGCCTTAATCCCGGCACCTTTGGCGAGGCCGAGACTGGGCGGTCACGGAGGTCATGGAGATCAAGACCACTCCTGGCTAACACGGTGAAACCCTGTCTCTACTAAAAAATCAAAAACTAGCCGGCGAGCTGGCGGGCGCTGTAGTCCCGGCTACTCAGGAGGCTGAGGCAGGGAGGAATGGCGTAAACCCGGGAGCGGAGCTTGCAGTGAGCTGAGATCCGGCCCTGTATCCAGCCTGGGCGACAGAGCGAGAGCTTCCGTTCTCAAAAAAAAAAAAAAAAGAAAGTTCTTGGGTGATAAAAAAGAAAGGTTAGTTTAGAATAAGATTATGGATAATCCTAAATGCAAATATGGGAGTTTTAACTCCATTCTTCAGCTTGCTGTGAATGAAGGGAAAAAGCAAACGGTGAAAGTTGTATTTCTAGAATATTAATCTGACAACTATATGAGAACAAATGTTTAAAAATCTGAAGAAATGGACAAGTTCCTGGAAACATACATACAACCTACCAAGATCAAGTCAGAAGAAATAGAAAACCTGAACAGAACAATAGCCAAGTAATAAGGTTGAAGTAATGATAAAGACTCCCCCAACAAAGAAAAAGCCCAGGACCTGATGGCTTCATTGCTGAATTCTATCCAACATTGAAAGAACAAATATAAATTCTTTTCAAACTATTC